CCTCCTCCTCCCCCCCCCCCTCGCCGGTGCAGGGCGGGCGGCAGCAGCGTCCTGAGGAGCGCCCGGCTGGCGTGGGTGAGGTGACGGCCGTATAGCGGGGGTGCTGTGCGTGTGGAGCGGCTGCATCGCTCTCGCCGCCCGTTGCATCATTCCCGGGCCGCGTGGGGTGGGCTGCGCCGCGCTTCGCCTCAGCGGGGGCGGCCGTTAAACGGTCACTGTGGCGGGCGGGGAGGGGGGAGCGCAGGCCTCGGGAGGGTCCCGGCTGCGGGGGGTGCTGCGGGCAGGCCGGAGGGTGCATGCCGAGTGCCCCCTCCGAGCGGGGAGAGGAAAGATTGGGGTTCTGCTGCTTATACAGGCTCGCAAGATGATATTGTGCCTTTTGTTTTTCTCTCTGGGTTTGGTACCGGCTCTTCAGCCGTTCTTGGCCTGTCACCCGTTGTTCTCATGGGTACCGTGAGGGTCTCTTGGCAGTGTTTTTTGGCAAGTCTGGCTAATGCGGTGGACCGGGAAGCTTCTCTTCTTATATTTTATTTCATCCGTTGCCCTTCCCCTATTAGGAAGGGTCTGAACTTGACTGAAACTTGAGAGAGCAGCGTTATTAATGCTGCTGGCCTATTATTGAACCAGCCATGACCTGAAAGACAAGTGATTCTTCTGTTCCTGTTTGATTATCTATTCTTCTGTGTATCTCTCTAATGCTGAAGCCTTTGACTATGGAGATTTAGGAGTGCTGGGCCCTGTTCCAGCAAATTTGCTCAAACTGTTTACCCTTTCAGTGAGTCTGTTTGCTGATTTGAGGCATGAGAGCTCCACGTTCTGCAAAACTTGTGCTGCAGAAAGGAGGGAAAACTCATCTAGTACAGAGATAGGTGAAATCTGGGGATTTTACATCAGACAGAAAAAGTGTTTCCTGGGAAGGTGGGACCTGCTCAGAACGTGGTATTTCTCGGCAGGAGAATGGCTGTAGTGAGATCAGTGCCAATAAAGCACGGTTTAGGTGCTAGGTTAGGTCCAGTACTTTGGCTGTTTGGGCAGGTCATCCCTTTTGATATTAGCTGGTGGCTCTTTAGTATCCTATCATGACACTCTGTGTGTGGGTTAACCAGCCTGCTTCCACGAAGCCAGAGCAGGACTTCTAAAAATTGTGGTTGGTAGCCAGGGTCATGAGGGGTCCATGTCCTGGAGTGTGCATGCTGGCTCAGGTATGTCACTAATCTGGCACTGGCAGCATAGCCGGCTGCCAGGACGACTGGCCTCTGGCTATTGGCAGGTGCCTGCTGTCTGTATGTTGGGATCCATAGGAACTAGGCAGAGAGCAGGGTGTACCATGCTCATGGTTGTACTGCGGATGCCTGCCAAACGCTCTACATATGTAGCCAGAGTGGGTGGCAGCTGGTCTTTCCCACAAAACATGCATCAGCCAAAAAGCTGGCTTCTCGCCCAGGCAGTGGTGACCAGGGGTTCTCTGCCAGCCTTTATCAGAGGTCCCTGGGCTAACAAAAGATGTGATGTCTTGTGGGGGGCACCATAATGCTGGGGAAGGGGAGCTGTGCTTCCACCTGTTTTATAGACCTGGTCAGAAATTGAGAGCACAGCTCCAACTCCCTCTTTTTGGCATGCTGGGCAACTTGCCTAATCTCTGAGTCTCTATTACCCTACCTGTAGTGCTTCTCTCCCTGTACGTGGTGAGCTTGGCAGATCAAGAGCACTACAGGCTGTACTGTTGTTCTGTCTTTGCGCACTGACTAAGGAGAGAGAACTAGAAGCGGGGAAAGAAGTAATGAAAGCTTCTGCCTGCAGCAGGTAAAAATGCAGATAAAGCATTCTCCAGTCTTTTCTGTAATGCTGTTTTGCTTCTTGAAGACATCAGTCAGAATATTTGTCAGATGAGTCTGGACAGGGTTGGAGTGAACTCAGGAAATGGAGATGTCAGAAGACACCTGCATTAAGGCTGCATGCAGAGCTTCCCTTCTGTGGTGGGAAGGCAGACTGAACACTTTCATGTTTTCAGTGGCTGATCTCTAGCATAACAATTGCCATAGCAGTGGAAGTTGCTTTGCTGTTGAAGTTTTAAAATCTTTGCAGTGTTACAGAGGTGGGGGCATTAAAGAACTACCCATGTTCTATCAGGAAGATTATGAGTATGCTAGTCAGGCCTTGAAAGAAAGAGTGATCATTGAGAGGACACACATATGCTCATCTGCTCTGTAGAAGAAAATGAAAATAAGACTTTTGATTCTTGAAGGATCTCCTCCTAGAGCCATAGTGTTGTTAATTCATACCCCAGTTACTTCAGGTCACCTGATGTTTCCTGACACAGGAGCGATGGCTGCCTGCTACTGAGGAAGTAGCAAGGGGACACATACACAAAAAAAACCCAAATGGCTGACTGCCTCCTTAATCACTTACAGCTGTTGTGTTTCCAAACAGCTTCCAAAGGTATTGCTACATCTGGTAACCTGTAAAGATCTAAAGGCTCTCTAAGACCCTGTGATACTCAGAGTGAGTAGAACAACTGGTTTGTAGTGGTTTACTTGTTCACAGGGTAAAGTGCTTAACGTCAAAGTAAGTACTTTGCTTAATGTCAACGTTTCCCATTCTCAGGCCGCAGCATAATGGAATCCTGTATCTCATCTCTTGCTGAGTAGTCAGCCCTTGGGGCATCTCTCTCTGATCTACCTCTTACACCTGCCTTTTAGACAGCTTTGTTTCTGCTTCAGACAAGACTCAAGTTAATTAGGTTCTTGCATACATGATACTCTTTAAATATCTGCATTAGTGCTGACATCATATACTGTAAACAGCCCTAGAAACTGTAGCTCCTAACATATCTATAGAGTGAGTTCAGCTCAGGCTGTTTGGGGATTAATTTCACTTACTGGCCTTCAATCCTGTTCTGTAGGAGTTGAGAAATATTTTAGGTCTTGGATTCCCTGTGGAGATAGATCGAGAGTTGTGAGCCTTGCCCATGAGGCTTTCTGGATCTCATATCTCTGTCTATGTCCCAATCTCCTTTGTGACTTAGTTTTAAGTGACTTTGTAAATTGTCTTTCTGACTTTTCTTTTGCCTGCTCTGCAGATATAATGGGAGAAGTTAGTCAGGCTTTTCTAGTTAGATTCTGCCCACACCTCCAGCTAGTTATGGGACTGTTCCCTTTTACAGCAAGCTTAAGTTCAGGCTGACAGAATTTCTTTCATGAAGATGGGCAACTTTTCCTGCGGCTTATCTCCCTCAGACTCTCCTGAGCAGTGTTCAATTGCAGTTAGAGAAGCAGAGTTGCCATTCTCCTGTCCTGTCTCCCCAGTCTGCATTCCCAGAAGAAAGACTAAGAGGGTCAGGCTAGAGAAAAAGTTGTTGTCATCCTCTGTTTTGGTGATTTCTGCTCACCCCCTTTTCTCTGTTCCCTAAAGATCTCTCCAGTAGAAAGATGCACCAGCTTCCTATGGCCTGATTTGGGCCTGTAGGCAGGATCGTGAGGGGAATTTGGATATCCTAGGCTGACCATCTCTGCCCCCTATTTTGCTGAAGTTGCATCATGTAGGGCCGTAAGCACCGGTTGGGTGTTCTGGGTGGTGTGTCAGGAAGCTCATCAGTAGCACTGAAGGGCCTCGAAGATCTGAGGTCTTACTGTTGGTTCTGAACATGACAAGTCAGTCTTGGGCTCTTGACCTGTTTCTTAGGTATAACTGTAGCCATTGCAGGTGCGTATATGTCTCCATTGAGTGCTGTAGTAAGAATTCCCCTTGGAGAACAACCAAGTCTGTCCTAGGAATTGTCCTTCTTCACAACCATAAGATATTAGGTTGACCATAGCTGGGACTGATTCTCTACTGGCATGATTAGAATTTGACTCTATAAATTTATATATGCATACCTATTTACTTTAGGCTGCGTGGGTGTGGGGTTATTTAAAATAATGCCTAATAACATGATTTGAAGGGATTTATTGAACAGGAGCTCGTGTTTCTTCCAATGAATGATGTTGCTGAAGGTTAGTATGTGGGGACAGGATTTTTGTTGGCAATGCTTGTGGTTAGCTTTTTCTCTCTCTCCTTGTTTTTGTTCAGAGTTTTAGTCCCATTATTGAAGCTTTGATCAAACATCAGAGTATTGCCATTCTAAACACATGAGGAAATCTCACAGCATAGTTGAAGGCAATAAGTATAGCTTTTCCTCCATTTCTGCTGTTCTAGTTCAAGAGATGATGGGTGTTGCTGTTAGTGGATTGTGGATTTTTTTGCCTTGCAATAGAGGAAATAAGATGGTATTGTCTTGGCCAATTTGGAGGGAGTCCTCCAAAAGGCAGCTTTTGAAGAGAACCATGTTCATTTCTTTCCTGCCATCAATACAAAGAACAAGTACTTCTTTTTTGAAACCTCTGAAACTTCTACTGCAACAAATTTTTCTCCCCTTCTCCTCAATTTTTGGACCCTCTTGAAGGACACTGAGGATTGGTGATTTAAAGTTTTTAAAGGTTTTGTACTCCTATTTTATGAGAACCTAGAAGATGAACAAAATCTGCTGTTCCCTGTCTATAACCCTTTGCTGCTTTCTTCCTGCATGTTGAAACGGTTTGATTCTTTGGCAGCAAGGTACCCTTTTTAGATGGACTTTGTAGATATTGTCACTCTTACCTGTGAGCAGAGGCAGTTGGTGTCTATGTCCAGTATTGCATACCAGCTGTCTGAAGGAGCATGTGGATGTGTCTCGTTGGAAGCCTTGAAACTTCTCCAGTATTTTTTCTTTACTGAAAAAAGCACTGACATTCTGAACTGTGAACCAGGCACCTTCTAGAAATAGAAATGAAGGCTGGGTTTCCCTCTGGAACTGGAAGTTAGCTAATTTCTGGTAACAAAGACTGGTTGGTGTTAGATATGTATATTTATGGGATGTTAGCTTTCTGGGACTGGTGTCTGTCAGTCAGTGGTCTAAGACAGGATGTAGTCCATCTTGGCTATTGGGCATGTATTAACCTAAATAAAGTAGAATTATATCATTTTGGCGGCATGGAAATCTTTATATCCAGAAGGGAAATTATTTCAAACCTTAGTCTGGAAAGTTGGCACTTTCAGAGTCTTTTTTTCCTAAAGGAGAGCAGTTTAAATGCCTTAGGCATTTTCTTCAAATCAGCGTGCAAGAAAGAAATTGGTGTGCATAAGGCGGTAGTGGTTAGTGGTGCATGTTAACTTGCAGGATCAAATGCTAAAGTTCACTGGTCCTGTGAGTCCGGTCTTTTTCCAGTGTGTCACCAGACCATCAACTCTGGCTGATCTAAGCTGTATCTGTTTTGTGTGCATTTCTCAGAAGAAGGAGGATGAGGCCAGGGACCCTTTCCAGGCCTAGTACAATTTGGTAATGGAATGAGCTGAATCTTGCTGCAGAATGGTGATAGGAAAAACAGATATTGGGGGAAAAACCCCACACACTTTCCAAGACTTCAGCCAGATTTTTGTCTTCAATGGAGAGGAAGCAGACAGGGTCTGTGAACAACTAGCTGGAGTAGGAGAAATGAACTTACTGCTTCCATTTTATATTTAGTAATTTCTGAAACAAAAAGCCTGCTAGAAAGCTTCTTTGCTTCCTTGTGGTTGAAGTGTTTGCTGTGTGTGTTATATCCAGCATCACTATAGTTGTACATGCAACACTAATTCAGTTTGGGTAGAAACTTGTGAGATTTTGGTCTCCTCAAGGGTAGAGAGGCCTCTGTAAGTGTTCTTGTATAAAGCCTTTTTCTGAAGTTGTGTACAGGGTCTTTTGGTGATGGCACCATGAAGCCCTTTCACCCTTGGTGTCTCTAGAAGTATATATCCTGTGAACTGGAGTATTTTCTATTACTTTGTGTGGCTTTCAGGCTAATGAAATTGCAGACAATCCAATACAGATGTCTTCTGCCTACTTTACTGGATCTGAGCTGTGGAGGGCAGGGCAGAGGGAAGATTAGGTTATGTGGGAAGAACAGGGTCAGGAGACCCTCCGTTGGTCTTGCACAATACCTCTGCTGCATGGTGGGTTTTTTTTGTTTTAATGCTGTTTATATGAGTCATCTTCACTTTGTTTTGCAGCTTCTTTTTTTCCCTATGAAAGTGGGATGTCTGTCTTGCCCTGTGAGAGACTGTTTGCTGATAGGTTGGTTTTGGTTTTTTTCTAACTTGCATGATCTGCAGCTTTGAAGAGGATTCCAGTCTTGTGACCTCCAGTACTCAGTCTCCTGAAGAAAGTCCAGTCTACTGTGCCATCACTTTCACCAAAGAACATGGAGAAGTTGATATTGGAAAGGCCTGTTTCTGTGCCTAAGGTACTCGTTGGTCTTTGGGGAATACTGTTTGCCTGTCTTTCTGTCACCAGAATTTGGGAAAGCCCTATCTGTTTGCTTTCAGAAGGCTTTCTAGGGTTTTTGTTGGAATGCTGTGGAAGTAGGGACTATTGAAACCAGTGGCCTTTCTGGAAGAGTTTTCCTTCATGACCACAAGTAGCAATGCAGAGTCTTTTGGCATCATTTTCTAATTAGTCACAAAGTAGTTTAACTCTGTTTCTCTCTGCTTGGAATGGGGAGGTTTTATTTTAGAGAGATGTTTTTTTGGTGTGGGAGGGTGTCTCCCATGAGATTAAGTCCTGTTTTCTTGATATTTACAGAGGCTAGTTACAGTAAGCACATGCTTCAGTGTGTTTTAAGTTATCTTCGTGTAGGGCACTGTATTGAGCTTTTGCACTCAGTGTTGCAGTGCAAGGTTTTTGTTTTAGCGATAAGGATTTAGCAGATCAAAATTATGCTGAAAGGCTTTCCCATCTTCACAGTACTATGGAAACATCAACTGACCATTAAAATACCCATTTGTTGTGACCTTTTTCATAGCAGGGAAAAACAAGAGTGGGACACTTGAAGATGGGATTTATCTGAGACATGCTGTGTTCTCTCACCTAATACCTGGGTCTTGGGTATAGTGACAGGATCTCTTGTAGTCAGTGGCAGAACCTGTTCTTGGTTGTTAAAAGCTACTTGTTGCCATTGCCCCTTTTGGCTTATAGTCAATACTGCTTTCTTGAAAATTGCCACCAGCGTAGTTTCTGTTCAGGCTTCCCTCCAAAGAACTGCATGCTGAAGCACTAGACTTGAAATAGATATGTTGGTGAAGGGACAGACAAGAATAAGGACTCCTTGTTACTAACGTAATTTTTAGCTATTATGGAGGAGCAATGATGTGAATGGGTGGTTTCCCCATGGTGCAGGACTTGAGTAACTGTCTCAAAAGATTCTCTGACCTTGTTACAGCAGTGCATACAAATCACTCTCACTTGTTTGTTTGGGGTTTTTTTAACCTCTTTTTTTCCCCTCTTTTTTTTTTTCTTTTTTTCTTTTTTTTTTCCCTTCCTCCTCCCCCAAGGGTGAAATGCCTACACTTCCTTCCCAGGAGAAGCCAGATACGAACTCATGCCCTCATGCACCTGGCAAGTATTTTCTCCCTGGTGGGACGGACAATGGGAACTGCAAGGCTAATGAGAAGGAAAGGGAGTGGATCCGCCCTGATACACCTAGTAAATGCACATGGAAGCTTGGGAAACCCCTCTCTGCCTCCCCCCATCGTCATACCACTCTGTAAGTATTGCTTTTATTTGTTGATTTTCAGTACAGCACTAATCCAGGTCTCCTCAGAGCTATGTGGATTTAACAAAAGATGACTGATTTAAATTGATGCTGTTTAGCATGTAGATATGCTGGTGCTTCTTAATTTCCACATAGAAGCAAAGCTAAGAAGCCAGATTAAGCATATAAGGGACCTTGCGCCAAAGGCATGAAACTACGTGGACTGGAACTAACTTATTTTAAATAACCTGGCAAGCAGTTCCCTGGAAGATTAGATGGAAGATTGCACTGTTAATGCCTTTTGCTTTTAAAGTAGCTGACTCTGAGCACTGCTAAGCTACTTTGTGCCAGGAGGAAGTGCAGAGCACTTCATTCTTGCCTCAGCATTTGGCTTGATGTCTGATTAATCCTTGTTTTGGATCAAGGACTTGGTATTTTGTGAATTTGTATCCAATGGACATTCTTTTAAACCAAAATATCTAAAATAACTAGCTTGATAAAGGGGAGGGAGAAAGCTGGTTGAGATAAAAAGCTTCAGAAATGCTATGTTGCTTTTGTGTGACCTGCCTGTGGCCCCTTCTGTGAATACACTGACTTTTTTTGTATGTGTACCAGGCCAGAGCCTCTGAAAATCATGCCAAGCATCCTGAATAAAGTTGGCAATACACCCATGGTGCGAATCAACAAGATTGGGAAGCAGTATGGGCTCAAGTGTGAACTCTGTGAGTACTGCTGCAAACAGAAAATCAAAATAAGAAACACTGTTTCAGAAACTTGGGTAGTCCTGGTTAGTAGTGTCATGTAACCTGGCGGTAGGAGGAGTGCAGGTACCCTGCAGAAAATGGTGAGAAAAATTCCTCTTTTTCTTTGGCAGATTTTCAGGTTTTTAGGATTTGGTCGTCTAAAACATCTTTCAGTTTGTACGTCATGAGGACATTTCGTGCAGCTTTTCCATTTTTGTAGAAAAAGTGAAACTTTTCTCATAGAAAATGTTTTGTTTTTTTTTTAATTTTAAAAAAGGTTGTATGAAGTCTTTGACTGCTTCTCGTATTCATCAGTGTGTGTAAAATGCAGATCTGCAGTTACCACTGAAGTTCACTGAAAACGAGGAAAGGGATCAAACTGTCAATGAATGTGGTTTATTTTTGTTGTTCATTTAGTTTTTTTTAAACCCAACCATAGTAGAGATATCTGGAGGCTCTGATCAGTCCTGAAAGGTGGTGTTTAACACCATTGAAGGGATTAATGCTGGGAGTACTGAAGTGAAAGTGTAGGCTGAATGAAACTTCCAGTTTGATCAGAAACTGGCTGGAGAATGTAGCAGGAAAAAGGCAAGGCATGTTGGTAGAGTTCTCTTCCCCTGTGCTATTGTGTGGAAGAGCCCTGGGGCTTTTTATACTAATGACTGGGCTGTAATAAAGAGGAAAGATGAAAGGAGGGGTCATACTTTGAGGAGACTGACAAGAGTTCTGGCTTCTGTGGCCAGCATCAAGTACCAAGCTTGCTGTGTTGTTGTGACCCATAACAGTGGAGATGCTGTGAACTGAATCCCCGTCTCTGGTGTTGTAAAGTAGGGAGGTGAATGGCAGACATGTTAACAGAGTTGCCTTTGCAGATATGTTAGGGATGAGCAGCCTGTTCAGCAAATGACTGCTGTTTAAGAACTCTGCTTGGTTTCTTTGTTTCCAGTGGCAAAATGTGAGTTTTTCAATGCTGGGGGTAGTGTGAAGGACCGCATCAGCCTAAGGATGGTAGAGGATGCTGAGAAGGCTGGGATCCTGAAGCCTGGGGACACAATCATAGAGCCAACCTCTGGAAACACAGGTAGGGGATGGAGAAGACCCTAGTAAAGTGTGGGGGAAAATGTTGTGGTGGTTTTCCTGGAGAGGCAGACTTGAGATTGCAGCGTGGAAGCTACCTGTGCAAGGAAGAAAGGGGATCTCTTGCTGCCTGCATGGTGTAGGGAGCAGTGCCTCTTCCATCTCACACAGGGAACAATTCTGCAGTGTCCTTTCCTGACCAGAACAGCTGGGAAGGAGGTCTGCTAAATTTGCAGGGGCCTTTGCTTTAAAAGAAAAGAAGTGTTAGGCCAGGTCTTTAGGTCCTATTCAGGAATTAAAGTCTGACTGAAATTATTGGAAATCAAGCACCAAAAGACTGGTGTGAACCTGGATCTTCCCCTTCTGTTTGGGAAGTCCCATGGTCCTCATTCCCTACGCTCTGTCAGGTGAGAGGGACCTGGTTTGAGGAACAGCCTTTCCCACGCGGTGCAGCTAAGATGGGAGATAAGCTGCATCCCTACAGCACTATCTGCTAACACAGCCCTTGCAGATTTTAAGATTCCACTTGGGTCAGCATCTCTTCCTTGGAGGGCTGGAGGAAGGAACAGGCCTACTAGTCAGGGGCCAGGGCAGAGCATCTGATGATCCGAGCAAACTGGAGGTAACTCTGGGCTCCTGCGTCACAGCTGTTGTACTTCTGTTAAGCTGCTCTACTGGTGGGGAGTAAACGTACCTGGAATGTTTCCCCTTGAGCTAGTTAAATATAAAATATGCTGCCTCCTCTGAGGAGGTTCCTGAGCTGAGCTGTAAGCTACTTCCCTCAGCCAAAGTCCTGTTTTGATGTTTGCTACATTTCCAGGTGAGTGGTAGCAGAAAGTACAAAGTGTTAGAGTTTAGGTCTCAAAATGCTTTCTTTATCACACACCATAACGGAGGATGCTGGATGGCTTCTCTTCCATCTTTGGCCTTAGTGAGGCCTTTGCCATCTCTTTTTTTTTTTTTTTTTTTTTTTTTTTAGCATCCGTATTCATCTATAATATACTGGGAAAAGTCATTGTGTCATGTTGTGTTCCCCCCACCCCCCCCCCCCCAATATTTAAACACTACTTGAATTGTGAGTTATGCTTCTCGTATGGGAATAGTTAAAGATTTTTTTTTTCCACCCCTACACAATCCAGCACCATGTAGAAGCAGAGCCAGCTTTTAACAAGCAAGTCTTTGTGTAGGGTAAACTGCCTGCGATGCATTGTCATATGCATGTGTTGGTATTGTGCCTGGTACCCAAAAGAGCAGGGGAGGTGCCCTGCAGCCTGACCTCAGACACATAGGAACTAACTTTATCTGTTTAGCTTATGCAGCAGAGAGGTGATCTGATAAAAGGTGTAAGCTTCTCTGCTATGGGGAAGACACTTCTGAACTTAGCTCTTCAGGTAGGCAGACAATGACAAACTGGAAGGCAGAAATCAGGCTGGAGGTGCAGATTTTTAGAGTAGAAATGAGGTGTCTGTCTCTTAACAGTCAAGGTACTTCACTGTGGTAGCAAGTTGACAATAGTGCATTAGGACCTCGATCACATACAGCATCTAAATCATGTCTTTGTAGAAAGGGCTTAGTTTTGGCACATTGCAAACTAGGGATTTAGTGCAGAATTGAGTCAACAGAGGGTCTAAGACTCTTCTGACAGTATCAAAATGATTGCTCTAGTTGTCTTTAGCTTAAAGCTCATTCCTTTCCCAAATTACTTCTGTAAAAATGAAGTGGGTGAGACAGGAGGAAGGTGATGTGCATGTGGTAAAGCTAGCAGTTTGCACATGTCAAGCTTTCCCACCGTTGGCTAAACTTTCTGTTGGCTGTGATCCTCAAAGAACTAGCAGCAGCTGTAAATCCAGTTCTCCCTAGTAGCCAGAAACATTCCCTTTGCCACCCCTCTAAAGACACTGTACTTAAGCCTCTGGTGAAAATCTGATTAAAGCCAGGGCATGCCAAAGCTAGCATTGTGGGTTTTGTTATTTGCTGCTCCTCACTGTATGCCCTACATGTCTTTGCTTGCTTCCAGGAATTGGGCTGGCCTTGGCTGCAGCAGTGAAGGGTTACCGCTGTATTATTGTGATGCCAGAGAAAATGAGTATGGAGAAGGTCTGATCTGCTTTTATTTTCAAGAATTAAAAAAATAAGCACATTTGCACTTGCAGAGTTCCTGGTGTAGATGAGTGCTATGGCTTTAGCACCAAAGGTGTAGGCTTGTGGCCTCCAAGTCACTGGCTAGCCCGAACTCTGCTGAGGGCCTATTGCCAGTGCCAAGAGAAAGCCAGGCTGGCTGGCCATGGACAGAAATGTGCTTAAGACCCGTCCCCACAGCATTGTCCCTTGGAAAACTGTCATAACTGTTTTAAATACAAATGTCAAGGGAACTCGAGATTTACCTAGCCCATTGAAGTAACTACCTGCCCCTGGGTTAGCTGTTGCTCGCTGAGCAAAGGAGGACAGAGGACAAAGTAAGGCAATGCTGAAGCTTTGAATATTCTTTTGTTCTGCACTGGGCTGAGCAAGGCCATGAGGGAGCCTGCTGAGCTCCTCAGGTTACACTGGTGGGTACTGGCAAGCATCTTGAGTTGTGTCACCACAGCAACAAAGGGGAAGGAAAAGCCACCTGGGTAATATCCCCTTACCTTCACTGTGGAAAGCACAAAACATCTAGCTCTAGAGCAAGCCCTGTTGTACGCTCTGCTGGGGTGGTTGCTGTACCTGCAGCCAGAAGGGGAGAAGAGATCCCCTGTGTCTCACAGCTGAGGCAGCAAATAGCTGTCAGCAAAACCACTTACCTCAATTCAAACAATTCCAGTGTTCCAGCTGAAAGGCAGCAGCACAAATGAGAACAATGTCACCTGAAGGCATATACCCATTGCTTGCTCTTACCTGCTCTGGAGGGAGAGGTACCACATGGCCATTGCCATGCGCCACGCAGCAACAAAGGCCTCCCCTGTGAAGACAGGCCTTGCCGTAGCTCAATGTCATAAACTTTCTTGCCCTCATAGCAGTTGAGCGGTGCATAGGGCCTTGGAAGATCTCCTCTGCTGCCTGTGTCCAAAGCAGGAGGTAAATAAACATAATTTGCACTTAAACATAAAATACTGGGCTATAGCACTGTTGGAGTGCAGGGCGTATGTGACTGGTATGAAAGGAGATGGCGTTTTGCCTGAATGAGGCTTCTCAATATGTAGTAATAGTCCCTACGGGCCTGAAGGCCTAGAATAGAAACAGGAATTTGACATCTAGCTCCCAAGTAAAGCTTAGTTGAGACCAAATTACATTAAAGATCTGGACCCATGGCTCAGTGATGCTGCGAGGCTGGGGTGTAGAACTGCTAAGGAGGCTATTGCAGACCAGGTAAAAGGGAAGATGTTTTCTTTCCCCTGCATCTCAATGAAGTCTCTGATGGGAGAGCAGTTTTGGGTTTTGTGACCATATTTATTTGCTATAGGTGGATGTCCTGAGAGCTCTGGGTGCTGAGATTGTGAGGACCCCAACTACTGCCAGATTTGATTCTCCTGAATCTCACGTGGGAGTAGCATGGAGACTGAAAAATGAAATCCCCAATGCACACATACTAGACCAGGTAAGAGCCAAAGTGTCAGAGGTGCAGGCGTAGCGTGGGAGGAGGTGTTACAGCCTTGTTCCTTAGTGTCCTTGGTTGACTGTTCAACAGCCTTGGTGTGTCTCTGGAGGAAAAGATGTCCCAGGTCTGGAGCTGTAGTTGAGCCATCACCATGCTGTAGGGTAGCAAGCTTTTATAGTCACTAGAGGGCAGCAACGAGCCTATGTTTGCAGCGACTGCTACATATGGGTGGCTTTCCACTGAATTGGCAGTCCTGCATGGAAGAATAGGTACAAGGGTCACATTCTTAAAAGAAACTGCCCCACAGACAGGACAGGTCTTGGCATTGGAGGGTGCTGGCACCTTAGAGCTCCTCTGAAATGAGGTCACTTAGGAAAGTTGTACTTCCCCTTGGACATTCTGCCTAGGTCCAGCTATCAAGGAAACAGCCTGGAAAGAGTATATGTAGCTGTTGTGGGGCTTGGATAATGTTTGTCATGTTCTTGAAATGCCTCACAATGTGAATTTTAATGTCTTTCTTGTCTACTTAATGGCTTTTCTACCTTTCAATATAGTACCGTAATGCCAGCAACCCCCTGACGCACTATGACACCACAGCTGAAGAGATCCTGCAGCAGTGTGAAGGTATGTTTGCTCTACTACTATCCCCTTCCTCAGTGAGTCCCTAGTATTCTCTTATTGTTAGGTACTTGGAGAATGGGACCTGAGGTGGTTGAGAAATACATGGATTTTGATACAGCAAATCCCATACGTAGGCTGTGTGTCACTAGAGAATTATTTTATTTCAGTAGTCATAGTAATGAATTATTTTTTTCCCCCCATTAAAGAGGGGTGCTTTGGTTTTTAGATTCCTCTGCTTGTGACCAGGTGGAGAAAGCAGTGATGCTTACATTATCTTAAAAAAAAAACAACAACCCAACAACAAAAAAAAACCCCATAGCTAGAGTGGCATGAAAGAACAGCATCGCTTTCTCTGATCACAAATGCAGAATCATAGACTCACAGAATTGTTTAGGTTGGAAATGACCTTTAAGATCAAGTCCAACCGCAAACCTAACACTGCCAAGTCCACCAATAAACCATGTACCTAAGTGCCATGTCTACATGTCTTTTTAAATACCTCCAGCGATGGTGACTCAACCACTTCCCTGGGCAGCCTGTTCCAATACTTGATAACCCTTTCAGTGAAGAAGTATTTCCTAATATCCAGTCTAAACCTCCCCGGCGCAATTGAGGCCGTTTCCTCTTGTCCTATCACTTGTTACTTGGGAGACGAGACCGACACCTTGCTACAACCTTCAGGTAGTTGTAGAGAGTGGTAAGGTCTCCCCTGAGCCTCCTTTTCTCCAGACTGAACAACATGAGTTCCCTCAGCCACTCCTCATGAGACTTGTTCTCTAGACCCTTCACTGGCTTCATTGCTCTTCTTTGGATGTGCTCCAGCACCTCAGTGTCTTTCTTGTAGTGAGGGGCCCCAAACTGAACACAGTATTCGAGGTGTGGCATCACCAGTGCCGAGTACAGGGGAACAATCACTTCCCTAGTCCTGCTGGCCACACTATTTCTGATACAAGCCAGGATGCTTTCTTGGCCACCTCGGCACACTGCTGGCACATGTTCAGGCAGCTGTTGACCAACATCCCCAGGTTCTTTTCTGCCATGCAGCTTTCTAGCCACTTCCCCAAGCCTGTGGTGTTGCATGGGGTTGTTATGACCCAAGTGCAGGACCTGGCACTTAAGTATTTTTACATTCTCAGACCAAGTACTCCATTACACTGGAAGCTTCTTCACTTAGGAGTTCTCGGGAGAACAGACTGCTCTGTGTTGCAGTTGTTGCCAGTAAGACCTGTTTACTCTGCAGGGGTTGCTTTCATGTTAGCTCTAGGCAGCCAGGTTGGAGTACCAGAAGTGATTGAGCTGTGGCAGCAGAGCGCTTTAGCTGGGCTAACTCACCTAGCAGAGGAATTGGTTTGACAGCTATTGGAGGCATTCAGTGTGATGCTGCAGCTTACCGTGTAGGCATTTGCCATAGGTGGTAGAAGGAAGTCTTATAGGAGGCTATTGACCTGCCTTATAAAACAGTACAGTTTCTGATGGGACCCTCTAATAAGAAAATTGGCTATTAAATTCCTTCTCATTAAGGTGAGGCCATGTGAAGGGTTCTCCTCTTTGCCCCCCCACCCCCAAAGTAACTCTAGCTGTTCAGAGGATTTGGCTTGTCTTTCTGTGGCAATCTTTCTTTAAGTCTCAGTTAAAATGAGTATACTTTAACAAACTGCCATCCCACAAACTGAGTCTAGATGAGTTCTAGCTTTAAGCTTCTTGTTTGTATTTACTTTTCCACATAGGCCAGTCGCTGTTCAGTTATTACTGAGCTTATATCCCTGCTTGGCAGGATGTTATTCTTTTGACTGGTAAGCATTTTTTTGTGTGTGTATTTTTTATTAACAAAGCTATCATGTGGATGCACCATGGAAACTGTAGGAGGTGGCAAAAGAATGAACTGTCATACCTGCACTGACTCTGAGTGCTCATGACCAAAATAGTATTTTTCACATGAAAATGAGAGAGTAGTTGTGTTAACAGTTCTCTCAGTGGGTACCTATCCCATGCTCTTGGCACTCATTCAGTAAATTAAGTAATACAATGGGCTGCTCATTCTAAGTTAAAGAATGAATTACATCAGCAAATACAGTAACAAGAAAACTACAGGTGTCAGCTGTATGGCCCACCTCGAGCTCTGTCCGCAGTACAACAAATTGGTGTCTTGCCAGGCCACTGGATGGACATTTCAAAGCCATTGTTGAAGTAAATGGGGATTGAGCAAGGTGGTCTCAACACAGCTCTTGGGAAGCAAAGATCCTTATCTTGCCCATTTTTGTTAAAGAAAGTCCATACTTAGGTTTAAGTGGGTTTTTAATCCATCATTCTGGGGGAGATTTCACAACTGCCTTCTGTCCCTCATCTTTAAACAGGAAAAATAGACATGCTGGTGGCTGCAGCTGGCACAGGAGGTACTATCACTGGCATCTCCAGAAAGCTAAAGGAGAAGTGTCCAGGTTGCAAAGTAAGTGGCAAGCCTAAAGCATTTCTCTCTAGCAGGGTGAACGTCAAACTGCTCCACCTGGCACATCCCATTCCTTGAAAGTCTGCCCTGGGTCTCTACAGGAAGCTCTTGAGTGTTCTTAGTTAGAAGGTAGTTCCAAGCAGCAAAGAAAGGTTTTCAGACTGAAATCTGGTGTCACTCACTGGTGACCAGAGTTCACATTTGGCTCAGCAGATGAAAACTGGCCCTCGGATCCCTTCATGGGGTGTCTGAGAAACTTCCTTCTGTGGTGTGTACTACAGTCTTCTGTTTCCTCTCTGGCTGTGCCTTCACTAGCTTGTCTCGAGCTGCTGAGGTTTTACCAAGTTAAATTTTCTCTGCACACGCCAACCTGTGTGTCTACCTGTGTGCTGTGTTAGATTTCCTCACAGAAGTTGGTATTGTGTTTCAATCGTGAATATTTTCCTACGTAGGCAGGGAGTGGTAAACAAAATAAAACTTACCTGTTTACAGTTGGCAAAAAAATGTGTTGGCTGTAACAATGTCTGACATGTGAATAAGGACAATCTTGTCTCAGGGGAACCGAGCAAAACCCATGTAGAACAAGTGGTGCCCCTCACTTAGTGCCCACAGCCTGAGGAGACAGGATGGGTTGCCAAGGGGCCAGAAGCAGCAAAGCTTTTTCCTCACAGGGGAGGTGAGTGTTGCCAGGAAGAAATGAATAGGAAACTAGGTTGCTGTTAGCTTGCCTGTGTGTGCAGCCAGTGTGACACCAACAGCTGTAATGAGGCCAGCGCTCATGAGTAAATAGCCGTGTTCTCAAAAGCAGTGTGTCATGGTAGCCAAAGTGGAAACTGCTTCTCCAGATTATAGGTGTTGATCCTGAAGGCTCCATCCTTGCTACACCAGAAGAACTGAATGAGACTGACAAGACAATGTATGAAGTGGAAGGAATCGGATATGATTTTGTCCCCACAGTGTTGGATAGATCTGTAAGTCATGCTTCTTGGTTTACTGCCATTTGCCCTCTGTTGGGATGTAGAAGTGAGGTGAAAGATGGAGGAAAAACCTGGGGAAGTATTTCTTTGAGCTGAAAGGGGAAGGCTACCAGACAGAACTGTTCCCGTTCTTTCCATCAGCAAAAGCAGTCCTTGGAAGGCTTCTGCACTGGCCATGTTTGTTTCACCACACCAGGTCGAAATGCTGTGAACAGATAACATTTTCCTAGAATATAGTACTTTTTTTATAAAAAAAAAAAAAAAAAAACAAAAACAAAAACAAAAAAAAACCCAAAAAACCCCCCACCCCCTCCCAACAAAACCCAACAACTAACCAATTGAAAAAAAAACAAACAACAAAGCATCAACCCCCCCCAGCCAAAACTGGTATGACTATGTCCTGAGTAGAGCCTGTGTCCCTGGGAAGTGCTCCAAGAGGGGAGGAAACTGGTGCTCTCTCTGGCTGTCTCACAACTTACAGTGAGGTTTCAATAAGGAGCCTGTTGTGCTAATGTGATCGTCTTACCTTGGCAAAAAAACCCCACTTGGCATTTGGAGGATGGAAACCCAGGCACATGGCTCAGTAGGGCAGCTGTTACCTCAGAGAGCATGGGTTAAATTCACACAAGTTGTGTAGCTCCCCTAGCCCTCCTCACTTAAATAGACCCTTGTTTCTGTCTTCCTGCCCCTCCCCAGACAGTGGACCAGTGGTACAAGAGCAATGATGAGGAGTCGTTTGCTTTAGCACGCATGCTGATTCGAGAGGAAGGACTGCTGTGTGGTAAGAGCGGATGTGAATCCTTTGGGTTTCTCTGAATAGTATGTGGGAGGCTGAAGCCTTCTGCAGGTCAGGGAGACCTCCTTCCACTTCAGAAGCTGTCCTCCTCACTCTGGGCTCCTCTACTGCCTCTCCTCCTCTCTTTCATTCTTTCTCATTTCACTTACAATTTGACAGTTTTGCCTCTGATCTGCGTTTTGGCAGGTGGCAGCTCAGGCAGTGCCATGTCTGTAGCTCTGAAGGCAGCCAAAGAGCTGAAGGAAGGTCAGCGCTGTGTTGTTATCCTCCCTGACTCTATCAGGAACTACATGTAAGAACCTGCTTGTTTTCTCTCTGGGAAAAGGGTGAGGCAGTCCCTCAGACCTCCTTACAGCAGTGGCGAGTTGAATACATATTTCTTATAGCACCCAGTTACCCAAGCAAGGAATGTGTTTGGGGCACAGCTGCTGAGGTATCTAGAAGGGCTCTCACATGGATTAGAAAGAAGCCTCTGAAAGCTGAGCTCCTCCTTGTGTCTGACTTCAGTATATAACCATCACTGGTTAGCATCTTTCACAGGAAAAGACTTGCTTTTGCTGTTTTATTTATTGGGGACCATTGGTGGTATCCCATTCCTGGAAGGGTCCCTGTAAGGCTGTCTGCTCTCTCTGCCTGTGTCCACAGCAGAACACAGCACTACTGTAGCAGTAGCCAGTGTTGGGGTGAGTTTACAGGTGGAAGTGTGAGGACTTTCAGCTGTGCCAAGAAGTTTCTCACCTGCTTCATTGAAGCATATCCCATAACATGATGTTTTCAGCCACGTTTCCTGACTTCTGTTGCATCCAATGTAATACTAGACAACTAGAGACTCCAAACAGACCTTGCCTGAGTACAGGCTGGCAGTTTTCCATTCCAGGCTGTGTCTGTATGGTATTGCAAGAGACTGTAATTGAAACTTTGTTTCCTATGGGATTCCTTTTTCTTCCTAGGAGTATTTCTTCTCAATGTTCCTGGCTGGTAATGGCAGTATGGCAAATGGCAGTATATTTTCAATTACGCTTTAGCTGGTAGTGGTAGTGAGCTATAAACAGTTGCCTCTGTGTGCTGTTAGGTTTGCTGTCAGATGTTCAGCCTGCTAATGAGCTTTTCACTTCCTGATGCTTTCCAGGTCCAAGTTCTTGAGTGACAAATGGATGATTCAGAAAGGGTTCATGAAAGATGATGACCTTGTCAAAAAACCTTGGTAAGTATGTCAGATCCATTTGGATTTTCATGAGTCTATTCAACTGACTTTATGGCAGTTGCTAATTTAAAGCTCATTTCAATTTACACTACTTCCTTTGATTTAGCTAATCTTTCATGCTATTGTGTTGGTGTATAATTGCAGCTATTAATCAAATCTGCTTAAATTACTTGATTTCCTCCTTTAAGTTGCATGTCAGCAGAAGAAAACTTGGTACTTAATGATTTTTAATTTTTTTTATGAAAAGAATTATACCTGAAATGAAAAAGTAGTATATAGAGAACCCTTCTGAGACCAGAGTTCTTGAGTGCAAAGCACTGCAAGTCTACCTAGGTGGAGGGGGAGCCTCCCTAAATTGCTACCTATAATGACTGTAAATATGGCTAGCTCTCTGGGTAGGAGCACAACATTTTCTGTGTAAGATACAAATAATGAAACTAGGGAGATTAGTACTCTCCACTATCTGTAATCCTAGAAAGTAGATTAAATGAGGAAAAGAGTTTCGGTCTTAAAGCCTTCTCATGCCTCTGTGACTTTCTGATATTGGGGAGAAAACTTGAAAGCCTTGAAGCTTTACTGACTCTGGCTGAATCCTAACTCTTCCTTGCAGACTTTTGTCATTCCTGTAGTGTTGAAGGCCACTGTACATGAACAACTGGTTCTCTTCTCTCCATAAGACTTGCACGGGTTTTGGTTTTTATTTCATCCCAGGTGGTGGAACATCAGTGTTCAGGAGCTAAGCCTCTCTGCTCCCCTGACTGTGCTTCCAACTGTTACTTGTGCAAAGACTGTTGAAATTCTCCGGGAGAAGGGATTCGACCAGGTACCAGTTGTTGATGAATCTGGGTATGTCCACATATATCGCTATTCATCCATATGTATTGCTTCTGTCACCAGCTCCCAGGGGATGTCTTTTAAATGCTTACTAGAAGTATAATACCCTTTCACTCATCTTCCTTCAGCTGTAGTAACACAGTTCAGAAATGCTAGACTTAATATGTTGTCATGCCAGGACTGTGCTGCCCTTCACATAATAAGTGTCTAATGATTATTATGGTATACTTACTCAGTGTGTCTCTGCAGGATAATTTCACTGGTTTTTATAATAGCTGTTTAACTTAACAAAGCAAAAATACGTATTTAAAACAAACAACCCCAAATCTACCCATCTTCACCACAGCTTTCACCCACTTTCTTCAGAACACTGCATTATAGTGCAATGCTGGAGTGACCCTTCCCCAGGGTGTCCCCAGCAAGCTGGTATGCCTTATTACACTGTAGGTCTCCTGTAGGACAGGCTGAATAATGAAGAGTTACTCAGTTACTCTCTGGTTACAGTGCTAACTCAAGGGATTAATTGTGGCAGGTCCTTGCAACATCCTTGCAGGGAGAAGGGGAATGAGTAAAATTGAGGCAAGCATGTCTCTGGCCCTGTTACAACTTTCAAAAGGACAGATAAGGATGTAAAACAAGTTTTGCTTTTCAAAAGCTCTCTCAGATTACAAGCTCTCCAACTCCAAGAATTAGAGATACAAAGAGCCTGATGCTCAGAAGGGCCAGGCACCCACAGCACCTGTTGACTTCTGCGTGAGAACTTCTGAGAACTGGATTCTGTCTCCTGCAGAGACACGGAATCCAAGTATATCATTAGTAATGTTGCTTTATACCATGAAGCAGTTGAAATGACTTCTCCAGGCTGGCTGAGAGTGGATGCTTTTACCTACAGGAACACCTAAGGCTTTTGTGCTGTTGTTTAGCCCTATCTTCTCTCTGTCCTTCCCCAGGGTGATTTTGGGCATGGTTACCCTGGGTAACATGCTTTCTTCACTACTTGCTGGAAAAGTTCAGCCTTCTGATGAAGTCAGCAAAGTAATCTACAAGCAATTTAAACAGGTAAGGAGGTCTATTCTACAACTCCTAGTTCTCTGGTTTAAAGGACTACTGTAGGTGTCCTAACACTACAGTGGCATCCAGTTGGGTAAGATTTACCTGGGACCATACAGAGCAGCCGTTACTGAGCACGGACATAGTCTGAACTCTGTCCTAGGTCACTCAATAGCTCCCAGGTTTGTGTTGTGGCTCTATATTGCACCGTTTGATTACTTTAACAGGCTTTCTTCTAGCATGCTTGTTCTTTCCTCCTTTCCCAAAAACTCCAGCACAAATCTGGGCAATGTAACCATCCAGAGGAAGAGACAGGAAGATGTTGAAACAGCTCTTCTAAATAATTTTTGTATCAGCTAAAAACAAGCAACCGTTTGCCTTTTGTATTAGATGCCTTGCTGAAACAGGGGGATGGCTGTTGAAAGCTGATGTTGTCAAGACGTGAATTTTTATGTTAGCCAGTTTTCACCTGTCCATCCAATGTAGCATGCCAAGATACCAGAACTTCACAGCTGTGTGGGTGCTCTTCTAAAAATATATAAGTATTGTTGTTGCTGGTTTGCTTCGTTTTCAGAAAGAGGATTTTGTTTTTAATATGGAATACTTGACCTAGTTTTTACCAGGCTTTTAGCTTCAACACTGTCTCATAGCAGATGATGTGCTGTATGCCAGAAGTATGTGTAATGCTTCAGTTCAGTCTACAACCTACCAAGTCTCTGAGGTTGAGAAAGGATGCTAGTTCTTTATGGACAAATGTAAATGTGTTTTTTCCTTCCCAGACAGATAATCAAGCATCAGGTGGAAATGTGGTGCGTAACAAAACTGCGTAGTTCATGTTCTCCCTCACTCGGACACCTTAAGAGTTTCTGGGGCTGGTGGTGTGCAATCATTTCTGTAGCTACACTGCTGTTAGCTGTAGTAGCCAATTCTCTGCGCTTCTGCAGTTGTGGCTTTTTTCCATGGGCAGCTTGGAGTTTCTCATGCTTCTTCAGTAAAGAACAGCTTAACCGTTTCTTTTCTCTTTAGTTCTGAATTTTTTTCTTGGTGGAGGATGAAAGAGGCGTGACACAAGTAGTGGTATTGCTAACATGCTAACTAAAAGCATCATTCATTGGTTCTTTTCCATTTGGATTGATTGATGATTTAATGGAGAAACATGGTTAAATACACATAACCTCAGAAGTATTGTGGATTTTGCTTTTTCTTACCACTTCAGTCAAGCTTACTTGGCTTGTTTACTGGTGAAATTGGGAAAACGGATCATCTGTGTCACTGAAATGACTTGGAATATCCTACAGTTAGGATGTGTACCACAGCATGTATCAATAAGAGGTCAGCTTAGCCTGTGACTACCAAGACAAAGCTATCTTTTGGCAACGCAGGAAGCTTTCTTTGATCACCACAATTATTTTGTGGCTATCTCTTAGAATGGAAAAGTAATGGTTATAGCTTTTTTTTTTTAAAGTCTCCAGTAGGATAACACTCTAGGGCTTTGAAACTCTAGTCACAGGATAATTTGCCAATCCAAACAAGTGCTGTGTGTTAGCGGGGAGGAGGGCCATTCTTGTGGAGTCAGATGTCGGTTCCAGTAGTTTGGGGTCTCTTCACCTCCTCTTCCTCAAAGGATCTTTGCATCAACTACTAACATGTGTTAGGTGTGGTGCAGACATGGCCTTAGCAGACTTCTTGTCTGCCTTTACCAGAAAACAGGGCTGGGCCATGGTCTCTGAGGCTTTCTTGTTACTATTCCTAGTGTTTAATTGTTACCCTGTTCCCTGGTGTGATTTTGGTTAGTGTCCTAAACCATTCAGCACTCTGCTAAACAATGCAAGGCCTGGTGTCCCCAGCATCTCTGGAGGACCAGAGCCTACCTCTGGGGAAGGAGAGAATTTAGTTGTAAGGCCATGAGTAGTGCCATGTCACTTGCCCTTAGAGCCAAACAAGCAGTCCTAGTCATGTGCAGTGTAGTAGTATGTGCCTAGGCTAATTGTAAAGACTTAGTAGGTTTAAAAAAAAATGCCTAAATGTGGGAAAACTCGTGGGCAAAATTTTTAGGGAGGTTGAATGAGCAGTAGTGAGACAGGTGAAAACTCTGTGGGAGTTCTGTTAAATTTCCATTAAGCATTTCAAAACATGTTTATGTCTTCACAGTTGTCTCAGTGCTGCCCATGGGCTGCTTGTCCTGGTTATCTTTAGCCTACCCAGTCCCTGAAAACAGGTCTATTGATTATACACAATCAGATGGCAAGGGGCTGTACCCCTTTGGTGAGCTTTGAACTTAGGTTCAAAAGTTAGGTTTTGCACGTACATTTGCACAAAACTGCTTGTCAGTGGTGGTGACTATAGTTGCGTCGATGTGGCAGTAAGTCCAGATTTCCCCCCACCCCTTGTCTGGCCCACAAGCTTAAGGATTGATGCTTCAGTATGCACTATAGCCTGCTGGTCCCTTAAGCACAGGCTGCTGGGAATCCTTTTGATCTCTTCTAACTCACAGTATGGAGACCAGAGCTCTGTGTTTCAGTGCAGCAAAACTGTTCATGCTGTGGCATTTATTCCTCAGCCACAAGCTGAGCTCACTGCAGGATAAAGGCTTTTTCAATCTGCAGTACAAGACTTTTCTTTGCTGTAAATTCCTTTGATCCCCTTTAATGAAAGTGTCAAATGGTGGGTGCTGCTGTTACCTGGGGAGAGTCACTTGGGTAATAGACCTATTGCTGCTGCTTAATATATGTTAAAGCATGTAGGAAGCACAGTTTTACGCATTCGTTCAAATGGTTCCAGCAGGTAATTAGCTAAGTGTTTCAGAAGGACCTGTATTCTTTCTACAGAGTCAAAACAGGGTCCTTCCTTCTCTAGTCTTAGCAAAGTTGAACTTCACTAAAAATGAATTCTTAATTCTCAGTTCCTTGATGTGCACACTAAATATAGTGTTAGCTGAGCAATCTTCACCCTTGGTTTTGTTTTGTCTGGGCTTTTCTCTTCCCCTGCTGCCTTCGCAGATAGTATTCACTTCCACAATGATTTGCGGCCTGATTCATTCACTCTTTCCCAGTCTTGCTAGAGTAAAACCACCAAGTATAATGAGTTTTATGGTAACTTCTTTTGTTAAATACACGGAACACTTGACCTTCTTCCATTATTAACGTTTTTTAGATATTCAGTACGTTCAGTATATTCATTATGTTTACAGAATCAGAATTAATACCTTCATGTAGTGCTTCGTTTTCATGTTTTGTTTTCTTGGAAATCAGAAACAAAGAAAACTGATCTTCTAAGTTGGCTTTGATTTGTTAGCGTTTTACAATACTTCAGATGGGAGCAGTGTATAAATGCTGATGTATTATTTTTAATGCTGCACGAAGTGTATGGGGATTATTGACCACTAAACATGTAAAGGACCATTTTATTTAAGTTTTGTAACTCTCTCCTCAGATTAACCTGAAAGACAACTTGGGGAAACTCTCTCATATTCTAGAAATAGACCACTTCGCTCTAGTGGTTCATGAACAAATTCAATGTGAGTATGATGTACTGCACTTTGTAAGAGGTAATCTTTGAGTGGTAACAAGAAACAAGTACAAGTGTGAGTGTGTAAGGAAGCTTTGAAGAACCCAAATCCTCTTCCTGCATATGTAACTATGTGCTACTAACACTTCATAAGACACTAGTACTTTAATACTTGAGGAATAAATGTTAAATCCATTAATAACTTCACATACTGTAATGTACCTGCTTGTGGAGCAGGTTACTGCTCAGAACCAAATGCCTGAGTCTACTTCACTGTACAGTGGCTTTGTTAGTAGCATTAAGCCAATGAATAAGCTTCTGCAGTACAACTGATCTTTGCTTCTTCCTACTTGTGTCATGCAACTTCTAGTAGTTCGATCACAGTGAGTGTCCCAGGTTAACTACACTTCAATTTTTTGCCTTTCTAAAGCAAAACCTTTATTACAGCTAAATAAAGTTTAGTAAGATCTAGATGTCAGCACTGAGATCACCATCTCAAGACAGCTTAATATTTTTTTCCTGTTTATTTTTTTTAAACTAACTTACTCCCCTTTACTTGATATTTTTCTGCCAAACTCTACTTTTCTTCATTTTTCTCAAAACTCTTTACACTGCCTTCTTTATGGACTGGAAATGACTAAATAAATCTTCAAAGCTAGGGTATGTCACTGTTATATGTGAATAATTATTTTTTCCTGTTTTATCTTCCTTATAGCAGGCAACTTGCAAAATTACAAAACACTGAGAAACTAAACTAAAACCAGAAATAAGACTCACTAGATAAATTTATCTGACAGCTAGCTGAATTATAACTGTAAATGAAAAATAGTAATCAAATTTGGGCTTGTTCCCAGATAACCTCCATAAGGATGTGCTTTTGACTCTGTGCTGACTATTTATAAACCTGGAATCTCATTGAAGCCTGCAGTGGAACAAAGATTGAGTAAATGAAAAGTCCAGGACAATCCAGCTGGCTGAAAAACTGAGCATATAAGTAGGCTAAACGTCTTAGTACAGCCAGACTTTAGGAACAGGGAACTTAGACCATGGATAAAGGGCCAGAGGTCACTTGGCCACTTGGTTCTCAGGTCAAAGGCTTATGCTCACAGTGAAAAATCCCTTGAACCTGTGCTCCCAATTCAGCAATGATTAGATGGTTAATAAGTTTTTTGGGTATAAATGGGAAAATGTTGTATTTTGATTTTTACACTAATTCTGTATTTGACAGTGGTGTAGGAAGATGGTAGTGTTGCATGTCCTTCTCTAGTGGCCCCTGGTTGAAACAGGATAATATCAGTTTGCAGCTGTTTCAAGGAGAGTCACCGAAACTAATGTATGGGGAAAATATGTTTTATAACAAGAGGATTTGATTTGAATTTTCATGTCAAGAAAAGTAAATCTGACGGACCCTTATCCTTCATTCCATAATGTTTCAGTTTCTATATCCCTGTTGTTGAGGAGCCTTTTTAAAATGAAAATCCTTGCCACTTGCTGTGCGACTGTTCGTCAAGATGCCGTTTGGGTTCCCCCTCAATGTACAAGGGTCATCAGTGATAACCAGCTCCACCAATGGGCCCTGACACGTGGAGCTGGGTTGGCTTGGCACCTGCCTTTACAAACAGTGCCATTAAAACCAAGTGGGATGATGTGGTTTTGTGCCTCCTAAAGCCAGAATCCCTTCTCTGTTTCTGTGCAGATCACACTGATGGTTCCTCCAGTAAGCGGCAAATGGTGTTTGGCATCGTTACAGCCATTGACCTGCTTAACTTTGTGACGGTGCGAGAACGGGAAAGGAAGTCCAGCTAAAGTCAAGTAGCAATGTGGAGCCTCTTCAACAACATTTTGCAATCTCCAACAAAGAATCAGGTTTATTTCTTAGGTAGAATGGTCTGTTCTTAGGGTGTTGGTTTTTTTTAAATTCTGAAAATAAGCAGTTAGCTATCCTGGTGTCAGCTATACAACCAGTGCATTTTGCTGTATTGCACAGCTTCTGGGGACTTGTTTCATAATCAGGTTACAGGATATTTCTTATCAAGACAATTTATTTTTTTACCTATATATATGTAAAAATATTGCCTAAATTAACTGGTATGTTCCTTACTTGTTATGTCTAAAGTCTGGCTTTACAAAACATTGTTTCGGATTCATAAAATGTGTTGAAATAAAGAGTTACATAAGCAGAGGCCCAAGAGAGCTCTGGAAAGTTTTGGAATTTTTTTTTGTGCAGGGGTGTTAAGTTAGGTAATACCTGTGTGGAGACAAAAATGGGACTGGGGCATGGGGAGAAGAAAGGGGGATTTCCCTTTGGTGACATCAATATAAAGCAAGAGGAAATCCTGAGAGCTGGAGTTGAGGCTTGTTTCAACCAGCTGCTCTGAGGAAAAACTGACTTGAGTGGAAGCCTGACAGTGAAGTGACAAACGTGAACGAGTGGCTTTGTTCTACGTGGTGCGCTGGCTTTCACTGCAAAGACAGACCTTTCTTTTCTTCCAATTTTACCCTGTTAAGTAAGCACAAGTGAAAAGATTAAAAGGCAAGATCAAGCTTCTTGCCTGAAGGTTTTTGAAAATCACACTGTTTCATCTAGTACCTTCCCCTTACCTCCCCACCCTCTTATTTATCTTAAAGTGCTTCTTCTTATGCCTGTTTTAGAAGAGCCAAAGGTAATCTGTCAAGAGCTGTAAACTCTTTCAAGTCCTGCTCAAGTGCTCCTACACTGTGTAGCACCTTATTCTAGGACAGAAACACTACTACTAATTGAATTCACTGTAGCCAAGCTTGGAAGTAACTGGCAAACATGGTGTGGACTGGTAATGTCAAGAGTACACAAGAGTAACATGCAGTAGGTCTGTGCAGCTACAACTTTTCACCACTTCCGTAACTCTGGCTTCAGTAATGTTTGACTTGCGTAGCCATGGCACAGTTTGGCACTAGCAGTCCTGTCCGTATGCTGCTATGCTCAGGCTACTGATTGCTATTAGTGGTAATGATAAGTGAAATCACACTGTGGTTACAGGAGAAAAGTAGCTGGTTTTCTTCTTCATAAAGACTGCTCTAATCCTCTTCTGACTGGTCTTTTGCCAAGAATAAAGTTTTTGATCAGCAAGAGTGGCACTTTTCTTAGTTTGTGTCTCTTTGCACTGAAGTAGAAGAATACTATTTAGGCTGGGGTTATTGCTGGTAGGATAGCAAAGTTTTGGGGTTTGTTTTTTCTTTAAAAAAAAAAAAAGCTGAAAGAAGTTGTGAGTCAGCTAAGAGAAAACAAAGGGGTTATTTAAAAATCACAGTTACGACCTCCTGTATATAGATTTATTTCTACCTTGCTGGCCTCCCTATGGCAGTGGAATTTGCTGCACATTTTGCAAGGGTGTGCCCAGAGGAGAGAGGTGGTGGAAGCCGCCCTGTCCCGTGTCAGTGCTGAGCAAAGAACATCAAACAGAGCCCTTGCAGTTGTGCCTTGGGTGATGCTGGCCTGAGAAGGGAGGCAAGAGCTCAAAGCCAAAGAAGTGACACCAGTGATAGTGTCTGCCTGCCGGCAGTGTGACAGCCTGGTTTGTTTTCTGACTGCTTCTCTCTCACCTTAAATTTGTGAATGTTAAGTACTTTGTTGTAATAATAAAAACCCCAGCTTGGGTGCTCTGACTAGTGGAAAGCTGAACTAGTGTGAGTATCAGATGTTTGTACCTGTGCATTAAAGACATTGTTTTCAAATCTGGATTAGCTTTTCTAGGCTGAACAGCTCTGTCTTACCTCTGTTGCTGCTTGGCAGAGCCTAATAATTCATCTTTCAAACTATTTTTTAGATACTTCCCAAGGACTCATAAATAACTTAGCACAGTTAAGGGCATGGTCTTTGATCTTAGCACTTTTAACATCCTTTATGTTTCTCAGTATAGAGAGTCTGTGAATGGTCAGTTGTATCCCTTGAGACATTAGTATTTCAGCCAAGTTTCTAAACTCCTTTCTCAATTATTTCAAATACTGCTGTCAGATATATTTTCAGATCTATTCTTAATTTACAGGGAAGGCTGAGGGACTTATTTCTTTGATTATTTGTATTTTTACTGTATCCATTGTTTCCCATGCTGTTAAAAGAACCTGTGTACTTCACTAGATGCTACTAACTGAAGGATTTGTTGCAATCGTAGCTGCCACTGCTGCTAAATTTTGGCATTACTGTTGCCCTTGAAAATTTACTTCACTTGCTTTTATCTGATTTTTCCCATTTTCCATCTGACCTTTGGTGTCAGTTGGGGGGTGTGTGCTTAAGTGTTTGGGGTTTTTTTTCGTTTTATTTTTGTGCCTGTAAAAGTTCCATGTTCCAACCTAACTGAATTCAGCAAAAAATAGGAGGGTAGAAGGAGATTCCCAAAGCTGCTTTCAGAACAGCAGTACAAGAGAGAAGTTAGAGTTGGGGCAGCAGCAGATTAATGGGTAGCTTCACTTGTGACACAGAGAAAAGTGTAAAGATTTTAATTTGCTTTTTTAGTTTACCATTCATAAATTAATCTGTAGCATCATGAAATCAGGTGGTATTGCTGACTAAGAAAGAAGGAGTGGTTAGGGTCTGAAGCAATCCAAGTAAGCCAAAATATCCAAGACATCCACCTGTGCCGCTCTGCCTATGTGGTTTGGTAAGAGCAGGAGGTGTCTCCTCTTCTACGCTGGCACAAGGAGGAAACAGTGGCCACCAGCCACTCTTATTCACAGCGGCAACCCTGTTTGACCAGAGGAATTGGGGAAATAAATGGAGTTGCTGAATGACTGCAAAACTTTCCAGAGCTCTTCCCTATAGTAGGGATGAAGGCAGCAAAGAGAAGGGGACAGAGTATCCTGCGAAGTTGAAGTTTCTCTGATGCAAAAGCTTATGAGCATGATGCTTTTTTGTGTGTGTGGGAATGTTGTTACTAGCCTGGTCCTGCTGAGTAGTGGTAAGGCTGGATTAATGCTTTACTCATCTGTTTCAAATACTATGAGAACCAAGAAAGATATTGCAGTTTGTTTGTTAGGTCTTTAACCTGAAGTTCAAGTCCAGAGCTTGAACAGAACTGTATTTTTTTCTGAAGTGGGTGTCTGCATCTTCTGTTTACCTGTGCTGATTATGCAATTGCTACTCAACCTGAAAACTATTTTGCACATGGATGTTTGTATCGACAATTTATGCTGTATTTGTTTGTCACTGTAAGAGAATATCAGTCCTTTTGGTCTAATGTGAGCTCAGCAAAAATACTTTCATTTTCTAACCTGAAGAAAATTATCCAGTAAAATCTGTATTAATATTTTGCAAGCAGTTACCAGGCAATGACTTAAGGATCATTGTGAAGTCATTGTATCCAATATTACTTCCCGCTTCTTCCACAAGCTGTGGCTGACTCCAGAAGTTTGTCTAACTGAGGTTCCTCTAAGCAGCCAGGCCGGTCTCATTTGCCCACCAAGCTTGTCGCTAAATGGTTTTTGAAAACGTCTGCTTGCAGTTAAGAATTTCACACAACATGCTCACTGTCAGGAGTTGCCTACCATTGCCACTGTCATCCAACAGCCTTTCTTACTGCATAGCGTCAACATGCTACCATCACAAAGGAAGGACTTCTTATGCTTTAAGGAGCCCAGAAAAATCAATACTGTGCGCTGTATTTATTGCACAAATGTTCACAAATGTACAATATAAAGAGTTCAATAAAAGCTGTTTAATTGCAGAATGACTCTGGGTTTTTTTAATGGCAGTTCAAGTTGAAAGCATATTGGGCAGTAGACTGTAAGAAATTTCTGTCGGCTGCAGAGGACCTCTTGCTTTCAGTGTGTGGACTGCAATGCTCTGCAGTTCTTTTCTTCTGTCTCCAGAGAGCTGCTGATGTGGCAGGACTGTCGGTGAGCCCCCATGGTCTGCTTCTCACGGCTGGCTTTACTACAATCCTGCTGTTTCTGTACAGGGTAGGAAAGGAAAGATGTAGAGCTAGGGCTCCAATGCCACTGGTGAAGTTCCTAGAGCAACGGGTGCCTGCGTGGTCAATTGGATAGATATTTCTGAATAAATGCAAGGGGTATGGGCCAGCCTTTGTGGCTGTGGAAGGCAATGTCTTTTGGGAATTATGGTGAAGCTGTAATGTTAAAAGGTGCGTGAATTCAAGTGAAGCGCGTGGGTGGTGTTCTGTGGCTAAGGAGCAGCTGGGAGAAACCGAAGGGACTGGCTGTGTTAGTTCAGAGCTATTTATTTGTGCTGCCACTCAGCATCTTGGTCGATTGTGCAAGTTAAACCAGGGTGAAGGTGGTTTATATCTGCTAGGCAAGTGAGCAAACCCCTCATCCCTTGGGTTTTTGGTCCCCATTTCCTTACGTGGTCAGTCCTTGCTCAACCCCATCCAAATAGCTTGAGACCCTGTCAGCCAATCTCACTGGGACGTTGTTCCATCTCGCAGAGACACGGGGGAAGGCTGGTGGGTGGAGAAGTGCGGGGGGGTCCTCTGCCTGCCTCGGGTGCCAGGGCCAGTCCTGCCGACGTGCGGCATGAACTTGCTGACTCACTCGCCTGCATGCCGGGTTTTCTTTTATGGGACTCCCACAGAGTGCTCTGTCCTCAGCGTTATCTTCTCACTCCTGATCCAGCGTGCTCTCCAGCAGCATGGGGTGACTCACACAACAAATGATACACTAAACTTTCTTTACCTTACACATCCTTTTCATGTGATCAGCTGAAATGCTGTCGTTGCCAGCAGCGATTGCAGATCACTGCCTTAACTTTACCGTTTGGCACTCTACTCGGAGGCAAAAAGGATCCTGATCTTGCAGTCTGACAAGCAGAAGGCTGACGTCGCTCCCAGGCTCACCCGTGCAAGGAAAAGAGTATTTCAGCAGAAAGGCCAAAGGCTAACAGAGCAGCAGGCAGCAGACGGGATCAAGTTCCACCTGCCAGCAGGCTAAAGGCATGCCTACCCCAGCCACAGCCCCTGCTCTGTGCTGCTGCTCCTGCCACTGGTCACAAACAGGGAGCTGGACCAGTTAAATAACACCCTAGCAAGGTAGATGGGGGCAGTTTTAGCCAGTGCAGCCATTGAAGAGAAACATCCAGGGCTCCTTGGCATGCCCCAAGGGTGTCCCGTTAGCAGCAGCCCCCAGGTTGGAGTGTTGTGCGCAGGGAACTACACACACCCCACTTTTGCAGGAGGCAAGACCTTTCCCGACTGCTGAGGCACTGCCTCATGGCACTGCTAGGACTGAGCTGGCCCTGGGTGCAGAGGTGCCCCTCCTTACGGGTCGCCGATGCAGGGAAAATTACTGAGTACAATCTGCTGTACTGCCTCTGGAGATAAACGGAGGACTTCAGTCTGGAAAACTACTGTACAGAAGCAATAAATTCCCTTTGGGAAAAAAAAATAAGCACCACCAATCCACACTTGAGTTGCTGATGGAAGTGCCACTACCTTTTGCCACTGTAAAGGCAGACGTGTTTGAGCTTTGCTCATGAAATATTCCTGAAGGTGTTCTTCACCAATACGGGCTTATCGGAAGAGGAGCTGTGGAGAGGGAAGCGGCTGCGCGCAGGCGTGCGGAGGCTCGGCCCCTGGCAGGGCACAAGGAGCCCGGCTCACACCAGGCTGCTGGTCCCGCTTGCTGCGGGGTTAAATGTGTACAGCAGGGATGCTCTGTGTGCGTGTGGGTCCCACAGAGCCCGGGGCCTCTCCCTCAGTCCCTGCCTAAGCTGTGCTGCAGTCGTGCCCGTGCCCAGCCTTGCACCCAGCCACCCGCGCTGCCATCTCCCCTGCCGGCGCCCCAGCTTGTCCTCAATGCTGCCCTAGCTCTGTACAGTGAACTGCGTTGCAAACCATATCCAGCTGAAATGGAGCTTCCCCCCCCCCCCCACCACATTACCTCGTAAGTGCAATCAGTTTTCTGGTTTGTTTTTCTAGGTATCCATAATGGAGAGGGCAATGTATGAGAGGGATGGCTGGAAGGAGGATGGGAGAGAGGACTGCAGGCAAGGGTTGCTCAGCTGGGTACCCCTGCTGCATCAAACAGTGGCTCCTGCAAAGCAGGACCATCCCCGTGCCTTCCCCAAGGTCGGGAGGAACGATGCAGGAGAGCCACGCGCTGTGGCTATGTCCAACCACTGCTTCGTTCGGTGCCAAACGCCGAGAGTCACCCGGCGGCTGGAGGACGGTGAGCAAGGGGGGAGCCTGCAGGACCTGACCTGTGGTGTGGCAGTAAGAAGAACAGCCAATTCA